AAGAATGAAACAGCATAGAGTGCAGGAGCTTATGGACAATTTGTGCCCTGCTGAGAGGGGGACATGGGCTCCCCGTGCCCACCGAGCGAACACGGGATGAGCACCGGCTTTAACACCACAAATGCTTTTACATTTAAAAAGCGTTCACCCAAAATTGTTCACATAAAAATAAAACCAGGTGCTTGTCTAGAGAGACGGCGTTGTCTAAATAACATTTGTTTTCTGGGCACAGACGCACCAGTGTAAGACTCTTTTTAAAAAGCGCATCGTTTGAACACCAGGATATAGGAAGCGAGAGGTGGCACTGAATTATTTTACAGAAAAGGCAAGTTTTCATCCAGTGAGCTCACTTAGTAAAGGAGATGCCAATTAGATGTAGACAGATGAACACTCGAAAGTACTAATTTTTGCCGAAAATGAACTTTTAGGTCAAACAAAACTACTTGTGAAGTTGAGTGAGAATCAGCAAATAAAGATTCAGCCAAATAGGAAAAAAGCCAAAGGTTAACCTAATTTATTTCGGGGTGTGAAACAACGTTTCAGTTTTTAATTTTGAAATAATTTATTCCAAAGATGAGGCTAAGGTCATTTTCCAAAATGTAAAATAACGTATCTCATGGAACATTCTCTCCCCTTGAAAATAATTAACTCCGTGTATTTTTATGTCACTGAGTGTCGATAGGTTTTGTGCTAATACAAAGTAGACCTGTTTATTTCTCATTTTCACCACCAAAAAATCCCTCAAACTCCACCATTATTCAGCAGCTCTAGCACCAGCTCATAGGAGCATCTCACCGGGAAGCCGAGAAGGCAGGAAGACACTCTCTAACCCAGTGTCACAAGAGGCCAGCACTGATTTTTCTTCCCAGAGCCCCCAGCTTGTGGATGTGACCAGGGCCGGACAGGCAGGACGGGCAGCGTGGTGGGATCTGCGGCGGTGCGGCTGGCATGTATTAGCATGGGGTGTGCCAAGCACAAGACCCTAATGAACAAAAGACCACGGAACTGAGGTAGGATAGATCCTGCCATCAACCACTTAGAGGGGGAAACCTGTGTCCGGAGAGGGAACCCCCGATTGCCCAAGGTGGGATACAAGCTCGTGTAAAGACACCTCCACCCAGGCTCGATGGAAAGGGAGCAATGACCTGCTTTGCTGCTGCTGGCACGGGGAACCAGCACTTGCCCAGCGCTCTGTTCTAATCACCAATAAACCCAAGTTCTGTGGACCCTCTCTTGGAGAGGGGTGAGCCTTTCTCAGCCCGGGCAGCCATCCCTACCCGGGCAGCTGCCAGCTGAGCACAGCTCCTCGATCGGGGTGTCCGCAGGGATGGGCTGAATGAATCACAGACTGGTTTGGGTTGGAAGAGACCTTAAAGCCCATCCAGTTCCAACCCCCTGCCATGGGCAGGGACACCTTCCACTAGACCAGGTTGCTCCAAGCCTCATCCAGCCTGGCCTTGAACACTTCCAGGGATGGGGCATCCACAGCTTCTCTGGGCAACCTGTTCCAGTGCCTCCCCACCCTCTCCGGGAAGAACTTCTTCCTGATATCCAATCTAACCCTCCCTGTTTTCAGTTTGTACCCATTACCCCTTGTCCTATCACTACAGGCTCTTGTAAAAAGTCCTCTCCCAGTACCCTTGTAGCCCCTTCAGATACTGGAAAGCTGCAATGAGGTCTCCTCAGAGCCTCCTCTTCTCCAGGCTGAACAAGCCCAATTCTCGCAGCCTTTCATCATAGCAGAGGTCCTCCAGCCCTCTGAGCATCCTCGTGGCCTCCTCTGGACTCGCTCCAAGTGGGCAATATCCTTCTGATATTGAGGGCTCCACAGCTGAACCCCCAACGCACACAAAAGGAGGAACACATGCATCTGCGGGAAGGTGCAGGCATTGTGGTGGGTGACAGTTGGCCACCCTGGTGCTCCCATCTGGAGGGAGGAGGCATTTCATTGCCAGGATGAGTCCCTGAGGAGCAGTGTGGGACTCACGTTTTGGCATGCAGGCGTTATTGCTGGGCCACCTCAGAGCATCACAGAGTAAGCCGTGGGTGACGCCGACAGTCCCCACTCGGCACGTGCTCGGGGCTCCGCTCCTGGGGTGGGGATGGGGCCAGGTGGGAGAGGGGAACTGCAGCTGCTGCCCCAGCACTCCTGAGCGCATGAACTGCCTCTTCCTAGCACGCTTTTGGCTTCTGAAGAGGAAAAATACAATGGAAGAAGGGGAAAGGTTAAAAAGGATGGAGTTTGGGGGTTTTTCAGTGATACATAGCAGCTCTCAACTCACTGCTGCTGGCAAGGAAAAAGAGGGAAGGTAATTATAGCAAGACCTTGGATGCTGGAAGGATGGAGTTTCCCCGAGCGAACAGCTGTGTACAGGCATCCCTAACAACTCAGCATCAGAGCAACAGCAGATAAGGAAAGCATACGTTTGGGGCTAGACTAGGAGAGACAGGGCAAGGATTTCCCTAAGGACACCCCATCGTTCCTCTGCTGGGCACGAAGCACCCAGAAATAACTGCCTGTGTCAGAGCTATGCACTGGTTTAATGCCCCAGCACTAAACTCCATCTGTTACGCTGATGCAGATTTTACATTACATTTACATTTACAGATTTTACAGATTGTTACACCGAAACACTTTTCTTGCAATTGAAGAGTGGCTTAATACATTCTTAATGAACTGGATCCAAGATAGACCTGACTAAAGTTGAAAAAAGATCTGGATTAACCCCAATAAAATAATTTGTTCACAGAGTCTTTTGCATTTCTCTGCTCAGAATCCTGGTAAAAATCATGGTTTATAGTAAAACCAAGAAGGAAGCCCTAAGAATGCTCAACAGAAAAAAGGGAACAGAAGATGGAGCAGAGTCCTCGGTGCAAAAGCAATAAACCACTGCGACGAGGAGGGCCCTGACTAACCCTATTGCTTGCAGCTCTTTGCTGTGTTACTCCCTGGTTCCCAGCTCACACAGGGACTGGCTGCAGTTCGGGAGCTCTAAAGCAGCTTGGGAGGAGAGGAGAAGCAGGATGAGCTGCCTGTTAAATGATCCGACTTGCCATCAAATAAAGAGACTAAAAATGGAGATTACTTGTGCACAACCACACACAGTCTCTGACGTCATTTTCAGTTTTGAGATGCCTGCTCTAACCCCACATTATGCAACTGTTGAAGCTTCCACACTGGCAAAGTCTAATTTTCACACGCCTACATGCTATGTACCTGATTTTTATTTTTATTTTTAAATATCAACAGCCTACGGCACTTTTTTTTTTTTTTAAAGAGTCTTAAATGATCATAATGGTTATGGAAGGCCCCAGCTTCACCTCCATTGTTTAAAAGGAGCAAAAGGAAAATGACACAAAGTCCAGCCTAAACAGTCTAAAAACCAGGCGATGAAGATAACGCAACAGTGACAGCTGAAATGAAAATTCCAGAGACAATTGCAGACAGAGCCTATCTCCAGCACGGGGATTATACATCCATGTGCAAAATGTATTCAATGCATGTTTCACCTTTCTGTTAAAGGATACTTTTGTAACTGAGGTGTGCCGAGGAAAAAACCAAGGCACGGCTGTGTTGCGTCAGCCACTGCTGGAACATGGTAACGCGGGGCTTAACCAAGAAAATTAAGCAAATGTAATTCTGATGTCTGAATTAAAATTCAGACATTAAAATGTCTGAATTAAGCAAATGTAATAATGTCACATAAAACAGTAAGTTCTTTCCCGAATTAATTCAGATCCCGTGTAAACACTCTCAAACCAGTTTATGGAGAAAGAAGAGAAAGAAGCTCAAGGTGGTCCGAGGGCAAACCTTGGGCTGGATTCCCCTCCCCGGCCCTTCCTACATCCCTGTCTGTGACAAAGTGAACTTCCTTCTCGCTGGCACCCAGCCTGCGACCATCCATTTCTCAAAGGTGTTTAGAGCTGCTGAACAATGTTTGAGAACACAACCGCATTTCTGCTTTTCGGTTGGGGGTATTTTTGTTCAGCCTAACCTGGTGACTAATTCCCACCTTTACCGTCAACGATGCCCGAGGTGAGAATGCAGCAATCCTGGGAAAGGATTTAGATTCCTGCGGCCGTGACCCTGCCAGTCTCCTGGGCAGAAACTTGCTTCTGAGCAACACCTTCAAGCAACCCTGTACTGCTTTTCAGACCAACGCCTCCTTCTTCACGACTGCACACGTTAACCAACAGCAAGCCAGCTGCGCAGAGGCGCCTGCGCCCGGCGTACAAACCAGCAACCTATCGCTTGCCAAAACAAACCTCCGCTGCCGAGGCTCAGGCGGGTGTTTTTCAGAGACGAACGTGATGACGGAACTATCGGGGCTCAAAACCGAAGGCCAAAGAGCGAGTGAGGATCTTGCTAAGCAAGAGCAGCTGTCCTCACCTACTGGGTAAGATGCATGACCTGCAGAGCCGAAATTCATTTCTACATCGTTGGCTTTGTGCCGTATGGGTCCAGGCAAGCGCGCGCAGGGACGTTATCTGAAATCCAACGGGCTTTTTCCGGTGAGTCAGGCCTGACCGACATGGTCCCTAAGGATACTGGTATCCGTGTGAAGTGACTCACTTCACTGCAGCTCATCACAGGCACATTTTACAAACTGCAGGAGCTCCAGCTAATCTCCTCTCTGCTCCACCAAGGAATAAAAGCAGACGTTGCTAGGAGTGCTGATAGTCCGGACAAGAAAAAGACTTGTTTTCTGTTTCTATGGTTGCAACAGCCCTTAAGAAAGATATAAATTTCCCTGCAACAACTAACTGCATATTCATTTAAAGGTAGATCTAGTTCCAGATTCCTGAGACAGAACCCTCTACCTGTTCCCAACCCCACAAGCCAGAGCAGCAATATAGAAAGTTTCTAATCTCAACAGAATTCAGTGAGCAGCACGATTGGTTTGGAAAAATAAACAAACAAAAAATACCAAAAAAACCCCCAAAACAACCAAAAAACCAGCAATTTTTCAGCCTCTATGTACAGAAACAATGCAAACAAGTGGAACATTCTAGTTATATTTTGTAAAACACACGTTTGGGATCAACAAAACATCAAACATCCAGACCCTAGATTACAAAAAAAAAGAAAAAAAAAATCTATTGCCATCTAATTGTCAACCCCAAGTTTAGACAGTCCTTGTCGGAAGTCATGTAATTCATCTATCTTCCCGTCTAGTACATCTAAAAAATTCTTTAATTCAGTTTTAAGGTTGGTCTGCCTATGTTTGCTTTCTTCGACTTCTGTCCTTAGCGTTCTGACTTTCTCTTCAAGATCTTTGTTCTTTTTCTCAGCAGCCTTAAAGACAAAAAAAAGACAGTAAGGTGAAACACAGAGAAGAAGGATGAGCAGCGTTTCACAGGGAAAAGCAACAAATGTCAGTCGGGCTGTAAAAGTTCGCTTCGACTTCTGCAGACTGATTCGCACGAGCACCTCCGAGAGCAAGCGACGTGCTAGTCAGATGAAAAGCAGAGGAAGCCCACGCAGGAAAGGACACAGATTAACTGGAAAAGATGCTTTGCATCAGATTTTGACATTTGGTTGATATCTTAAAATTCAGCTGGATTTAAATCGTGAGCTGTGCATATATTTCTGTCATTTGCCACAGTTGCAGAATTAGACACTGTGCCACCAATTACATACGGAATTATCTATGGTGCTTGAACCCTGAAAAACAAGCTTAGAAAAAAAAATGCCTGAGGAGTAATATTGCTTCACTCAGCACTTTTGGATTTATTGGTAGTTTTTTAAAGTTCCACTTTGTGTGAGCACTCAGGCAAGGAGTGGGGCAGCCACGGAACACCTCGTGGCTGCGGTTCTATTACTTTCCCCTCTCGTGAGCTCTTCTGCCCATTGTCCTCCGTTTCACCGTGCCAGCACAGGCTTATTCTCACCAGAAGCCGCAGGCGACACACTCTGCCATACTGAATCAAACAGAACTCGCATTTCAACCATTTTCAGCAGCTCCACTCCTCTAAATGATTTTAGCCTGCTGGGATTACCAGCGTGATGGCTTACGTGCTTGACTGGATTTCAGCGCATCAATGCGACTGCTTCCATGAATTCTCCTTCCATGTATTAACTCACTGCACTGGCACAAGCCCGAGTCTAACGAGCGGTGCCCAAAGCCCAGCCGCCGGCTGGGGCCGGGCTCCCGCAGCCCAGCGAGCCCCGCTCCGAGTGAGCGTCGCCCAGCACAGAAACCACATGAGCAGAACCAAGCCCCAGCCGGCCGTGCGTCGCTGGAAAGGAATGAGACAGCACAGAAACGCATCCTCAGGTGAACTTTTTTTTTCCCCCTGGAGCTACATTCATCCGTTTCTTTCCAAAAAGCCTTCCCTAGCGCCGCTGCGGCAATGGGCGCAGGTCTTGGAGTGCTGCTCGACACGCGTGGCTGCGGTGCAGCTCCGCAAAGCCCAGCGCAGCAGAAATATGGGATACGGGATAGCCTGGAATCTGCAGGAGATGGGTGCAACACGATCCCAGGGAAACCAATTTCTGCAAACAGCGAGGCATAGAAACGGAGCTGTTTAATTACTCCTGTGCTGGGAAGGGCATGGTGTATTTTGCATGTAATTAGCATTTGGTGTTTTTACAAACTGCAGCTCTTTTGCCTTCAGACAGTGAGGTCTGAACAGAGAAAAGCACATAGTTACGAGGAAGGAAGTAAATGTATCCACTATTTCAAAATTAATTTCATATCCAAACTGTACCTCTAATTGTTGAGATACAGATTCACATTCTGACATTAGCTGTGGAATAATTTCACCCTGCTTTCGGAGCTCCTCCAGTTCCTTGGAAAACATAAAAGAAAAAAACAGTATTAGTGCAAGCTTCCATTTAAAACATAATGAAAATTTGAGAATACAAAATGGCTTTGCATATTTTATTGTATTCTGCACGGTATTTGGACGTAAAATAATCAAAATAGCGCGTCTGCATTCTAAAACACACACTAATTGTCTACCAGAATACACTTTTTTACTACATTTTTGACTTTGTGTTTCTAAAACAATTTTTGACTTTGTGTTTCTAAAACAATGTGATCCAATCTCTAGCACGAATGCCATTAATTATACTAATGAAATCTTAGCTGAAAACACACACCTATGCAAAAGAAATACTGAATAAGAGAGAAACGTGAAGGGCTGTAATGCTACAAGCAATTTATAGATGGTAGCAAAGAGCAAATTAGACATGAATTTTCAATGATATATGGCAGCAAAAAGGGCCTATGGCATGACGAGCTGCATACATAGAGGCATCGTTACAGAGCGCCGCTGCAATGGGCTCTCCTCCACTGCACAGCTCCGAGAAGAACCCCCCAGCCAAAACCTGTGTCCGGTTCTGGCATCACTGAGAGGGTAGCTGAAAGGAGTGCCTGAACGGAGCAGTGTGACTTGCTCTGCGTCCATGTCTCTGGTGGAAATTAAGACAACCGGAATAATTAAACACCCCAAACGAACAGCACCAGTGCGGGAAGGAGGGAAAGACTCAAAGAAAGCCTGCACATTTTGCAGAAGGATCGTCAGAGCATCTGAAAGGCACAATGCAGGTCCAAGAGAAACGCTGTGACGTGGAGAGAGCGCAAGATCCTCCTCCAGAAACCGCCCACCGTAGGTGAGGGTGCCAAGAGTGTGCAGGGGTGTATCCCCCCGAGCTGTACTGACACAGGACGGCTAAAGCTGTCCTACCTGAACGGCAGATCTCTTGGCTACGTGATTTGGAAAGGTGACTTCTTCCCTAACGGGTGAACTTGCGGCATAATATGAGAATAATAACAGAATCTGCAAGCCAAGCTCTTCCCCAGAACCAGACAATAACGTTTTTCCTCAAGTCCCCCTGATTCCCTACGTTCAAAGTACATCAATACTCAGCACTTCCAGTCTCACCCAAATTTCCCAAGAATCCAGCATATCCTGGAGGGCACGTTGCTTTCTTCCAAGGTTTGCCAAAAGCACCATTACATCAGATCTTTTTTTTTTTTGAGAAATTCTGTAATTCTCAGACAATTCTAACTGCTTTTATTGTTTCCCTTCATTTTTCAGCATCTGTTTACATTAGTATAAGAACAGAAATCATATAATACTACAGATTTTTTGTGAACTGTGCCAAAAAATTTAACTAATGTAAGAGCAACTATATCCAGGCAATGTCTCAGCTGCTGATATAGGGGAAAGAAAGGGTAACTTACCCTTTGTTTTGAGATACGAACTCTTGTGCATGTATATGTGTACATACATAAGTAATGCCGGGGAGCTCACATCTCAAAATATAAATATATTATACTATATATGCTTACTACATTTGTAACTACCATGCTGTATACTTACTATATATAGTATAATATGCACTATATATATATATATGGTACGTGGCATATGGTATATGAGAGATATATGTATAAAATATGTAAATATTTCACTGAATAGCTTGAGATATAAATATTTCACTAGATAGCCCTGTCCTGATTCCCATCTCTTTACATGCCTCTCTCCTCATTTCCTGCATGGAGAGGATAGCAGCAGCTCCTCTTACACGGCAGCGTCCATGAGCAGGCTTCATGCCGGTTTGAATCGCAGCCCGTGAAAAGGTTACGTATGGGTGCTTTAGACCTAATCAAGAACCCGATAATATATGTATGCAGTTTGAAAACAAGTTAGTAGATTGTCAGTGTAAATGGAAGATGGGCATGTAATATTCACAAGTCAATCAATTTTCTGGTTCATTTGGTACCGCAAAAATATGAATCTTGAGGAAAGCGCTGGCAGAGAATAAGGGTCATTATACGTGCTATTACCACAGAAAGGCTGGGAAGAAAGCATGACATTTTCCTTCGAAATATGGGGCTGAAAAACGTATTATATTTATAACAGTGCATCAAAATCCATCTCCCTAAACTATTTCCTTGTGCCATCTTAAAACCCTTTAACAGCACTGCTTTTAAGAGCACCAGCAGAGATGCTGTAATGGCGCATGGCAAACTTCACTGCACCTGCTGACAGCTTTTTCTCTTCAGCCAGCACAGAGCCCCTGGTCACTGTAATGAAGGGAAAAACCAAGGATCCCATTATTTTCCCCACTGTTCAGGGGCTCCAAGCCATCAACATCACTCTCCTTAGGAAAGTGACACCCTGCATGTCAAAAATGACAAAGTGGGGTGCTCTAAATGAATCTGACTTTCTCACCCATGGCATTAGCCCTGAGATGAGAGGGAGACCGTAAAACAGAAAAGCTGAAGACTACAAGCCACCTGAAAAAAGAAACAGGACTCGGTACACAAACTTCAAGTTATGTTGTAACCGATGCCTTTTTAACGATGGTCCTGATGTCCACAGAATTCATGGGGACTGGCAAACGCAACTGGTCTCTGCACACAGCTGGCTGGCTTTGGGCAACAAGTTTCCCCACTCCAGCTCTTCCATTAGGAATGTCGTACACGTGAAAGCATCACGCGTGTCAACCGCTGCCAAATCCAAGTGTGCTCGCGGAGAGCGTAAACACATCAGGAAACGGAGACTGAGGAACCCTATCGGATTGTTAAGGAGCTGTACATGGAAAATCTAGAGACAGGCAACACCCTGAGACATCGGGCTGCTTCTGGCCGTAGGTGAGCCAGTCCATAAACCTATGGCCCAAGCGAGAAGCAGGCAGACCCACTCCAACTCCAAAGCCTGGCCTTTTCTGCATCCTTACCAGCTCTTTGTCCTGAAGTTCTGTTTCCAGTTCCTGGAGACGTCTACTCAGCTGCGCGTTTCTTTCCTTCTCTTTATTTATTTCGTTGCACTGCTCCTCCAGTTCTTCAATCTTTAAGAAAAGGCAGACATGAGGTGAAATTTTTCAGCTTTCTGAAAATCTGGGGCAGAACACAGCTGAAGCAAATGGGCATTGCCCTGTGGAGCAGGGGGAAGCACGGGCAATTTTGATTTGTCATGATCTCTTTCCTAGATCATAGCACTTGATTCACTGCAACCAAATTATGGCTTCTTTCCTCAAAAAGAGCCAATTTACACATCCACTAGGAAGCCCTGGGACTGTGTTTATTCTCTCTCGCACAGTATCTCCGGAATGCACAAAACACCAAGCAGCTAAAATAAGTGGATCTGGGGATAAAATCTGCACTTCACTTCTCTGAAACCAACACGAGGCTACAAGGGATGGGTTTTCTTAACGCAGCAAGGAGAAGGAATCTCTCCAGCGCTCCCAGCTTTGCCTCCTCAGGGGTTGCTTATTATTCTAGCTGGAGAACGAGGGACACAACATCAAAACTTTGGGGGGAGAACCGGTTCAGAGCAACGTAGGCTGCTTTGTTCTCTCGCCCAGGGACGTGCTTTGCTCTCTCCGCACCTCCTCCTGCCGGCTCTGGACTTAGCTCCCAGGAGATGCACTTCCCACAGGCCGACGGGCCACCTCATTAAAGTACGTACTTCAATGCTCAGCTTCGTGTTGCTTTGGGATTATAACTTCCCTCATTTGAAGGTAGAGCAATATGCAAAAAATCCTGACCTAATTAACAAAGAAGAAGGAACTTCCCAGGGCGCTGCAGTGGTGCAGCATCAACATCGAGAAAGGAACCTACTTGGGGGAAAAGCCCAGAAAATCTCTCAGTGTAGAAAGACAGCACATTACACAGAGAGCCTTCTGCACAGTCTGGCTACTCACTGGTATAGAATCATAGAATGGTTTGGGTTGGAATGGACCTTAAAGACCATCTAGTTCCAACCCCCTGCCATGGGCAGGGACACCTTCCACTAGACCAGGTTGCTCCAAGCCTCATCCAGCCTGGCCTTGGACACTTCCAGGGATGGGACATCCACAGCTTCTCTGGGCAACCTGTCCCAGTGCCTCCCCACCCTCTCCGGGAAGAATTTCTTCCTGATATCTAATCTAAACCTCCCCACTTTCAATTTAAACCCATTCCCTCTTGTCCTGTCACTACAGACCCTCGTAAAAAGTCCCCCCCAGCTTCCTTGTAGCCCCTTCAGGCACTGGAAGGTGCTATAAGGTCTCCCCGGAGCCTTCTCTTCTCCAGGCTGAACAAGCCCAACCCTCTCAGCATGACCCCCTGGCAGACGGGCTCCAGCCCTCAGAGCATCTTCGTGACCTCCTTGACTTGCTCCAAGCAGTCGCAGAACTCCAGGTGGGGTCTCACCAGAGCAGAGTACAGGGGCAGAATCCCCTCCCTCGCCCTGCTGGCCACACTGCTCTGGATACAGCCCAGGATACGGTTGGCTTTCTGAGCTGCCAGTGCACACGGCCGGCTCATGTCCAGCTTTTCATCCCCCAGTACCCCCAAATCCTTCTCCTCAGGGCTGCTCTCCATCCACTCTCCACCCAGCCTGTCCTTGTGCTGGGATTGCCCCGACCCAGGTGCAGGACCTTGCACGTGGCCTTGTTGAACCCCATGAGGAGTTCAACATCAAAGTGTGATGACTTTGCAGCTGTAGTAAGGGAGTGTTTTGATAATCTCCAGATATCTAGGCTACAGCCACTGAGATAGGGCATGTTTCCTCAGTTAATGAGAACAGCATTTCTCTGCAACAGCAAAGAAGAGTAAAAAACCTACACTGCAAATGATGATACTTTCTAGTAACACACTGTCCCAGTCTCTCACTCCCCTATCCAAAAGAGACTGGATGTAGGAACCCAAATAATGTAACAACTAATATGAGTTCGTTGATGTAACAGCAGTTAGTCCAGCTCTGGTTTGATCCTTGAGTGGACACCTAAAAAACCATGTGAATGGATAGAGAATATTTGCCTCAGGAAATGGTTGCTCCACAGGGATTTTCAGTGCTGACAGACAACCCAGGCCACCTCCAACACTGAAATACTATTTGCAGCCTACTGACCTAGGAGAAGATAAGAAATTCCTTCCCTCTGAAAGCAAACACGAAACAAAAAAAGACTGATACAATCTGATCTCTACTCCAAACATCCAAGTGATCCATCTAAGCAAGGATCCAACTTTTCCAAAGACATGAATGAATAGAATGAAGTTATCCCTGCAAGAGGGCTCACAGATACCAGGCTCCCCGTGCCCAGGCTGGTGCCAGCCCCGTGGGGGCTGTTACCAACAGCACCGTGTCATAGAACCACAGCCTGGTTTGGGTTGGAAGGGACCTTAAAGATCATCTAGTTCCAACCCCCCTGCCATGGGCAGGGACACCTTCCACTAGACCAGTTTGCTCCAAGCCTCATCCAGCCTGGCCTTGGACACTTCCAGGGATGGGGCATCCACAGCTTCTCTGGGCAACCTGGCCCAGTGCCTCCCCACCCTCTCTGTGAAGAATTTCTTCCTGATCTCTAATCTAAACCTCCCCACTTTCAGTTTAAACCTATTACCCCTTGTCCTGTCACTACAGGCCCTTGTAAAAAGTCCCCGCCAGCTTCCTTGTAGCCCCTTCAGGTACTGGAAAGTGCTATAAGGTCTCCCCGGAGCCTTCTCTTCTCCAGGCTGAACAAGCCCAACTCTCCCAGCCTGTCCCCATGGCAGAGGGGCTCCAGCCCTCGGAGCATCTTCGTGGCCTCCTCTGGACTCGCTCCAACTGGTCTATATCCCTCTGATGTTGAGGGCTCCACAGCTGGACGCAGCCCTCCAGGTGGGGTCTCACCAGACCCAGTATCGTTTGAGGGACGGTAGTAACGACTAAACTGAGGCTTTAAGAATTTAAACTTCTGAGTTGTTTTCTGCTGTGGGTAACCAGGCCATAACCATGCCTGCTGCCTATCATCATCTGGCAGTATTTCAGAGAGATTTGAAAGGGATATGCAATGGTAATCCCACTTTTTAAACCTTTCTGGCTTACGACCCCGGCCCGCAACCCCTGCCGTCAAGGTACGCTCCCTACCTTGTCCCTCAGCCGGTCATTTTCCTCCTTGCAGGCAGAGAACTGCTTCTTCCAGTGCTCGACGCTGGCTGCGGACTCCTGCAGCGCCGTGGTCAGCCGGGCGTTGCTCTCCCGCAGCGTCTGCAGCTCCGTCTCCCACTTCTTCACATTGGACGAGCTGAGAAAACCAGGGTGCCGTTAGCCCTGGGAAGTGAAGGCACCTCACGGCACCCTGCGCGCTGCCCGCGCAACGGCGCGGCTCCACGCGTTTGTAGAACCGATGATGTTGGCGGGGAGGGTTTGACACTATATTTGACTTTTTTTTTAAGGGTCAGCCTTAAATATCAAAGTGTTAGGTAACGCTGAAGAATTAAACCTCTCATTTCCCAAAGCTTTGGGCGGCAGCACAGCGCACAAGACCAGAGAGCGAACGGAAGGAAGGCTTGGAAACTCCCCGCGCGCTCGGGGCTCAGTAGAAAATCGCTCTATTTCATGTCGTAACTTTGCATACTCCAACGCCTGTATTTTCACTACAGCTGCAAATTACTCTTCTCAGAATTTTCAAATCAATGTTCAAAATATCAGAGCAAATACCAAAAAAAAAAAACAAACCAAAAAAAACTTCAGGGGCCATTGTCCACAGCTAAGCCCCATCTAAGCAGCCCGGTGAAATTATATTTCTCACTTCAACTTTTTATGGCTGAGTTAATTTCCTTTTATAATTTTAAATATCTGTATCTATTTTCATCAAAGTAAATGTAGCAAACTGATAGAGGAAGAGAGATTGGCTTCACATGTTCTTGGTAGCAATTGCTCCCTCATGGCTTTAATGTTATTTCTGCAGCTCTAAAACTTCACAAACGAAAATGGTTATAAGAGTTGGCATCAGCAGAAGAAAAGAGATCTTATTTCATCATGAACTAGATCAGGAAAAAACTAAATACCTCTCAATTGGATACCAGGAGGTACTTGCTAAAATCTGCTCATTCATCCACTCTGCTGCATCATTTTAAATTAACGCAATTACATTTGAATTATTTCTGTTAATATCATTAGCCATGAGATAATTACAGCACGCTATTCCAATGCAATTTAGGCATTAAAGGAACTTCACCTTTGGGCTAGAGCAATTTTTAATTTATCATTCTCAGACTTGAGATGTGCCTCAGCAGGACCCCCGTGGGATGCCTTCTCATCGTCTGTCCCATTCACGCTAGATGCTCGAGTGGAAGATGGTGTTTCACGTCCGGATTCCTGCAGCACAGCACACAAACGAACACCGGTTGTCTCCTGCAACACCACAACACCGACATCTTTGTAATCTTGAGCCCACACCACCCTGCTGAGACCTAGGCCAGATACATTCTCCTGGCAGAACAGTGGTAACAAACACATTACATTTTGGGTGCAAAGCTGGTCCCTTTAAAAAGAATGAAAAAATTATAATGATAAAATGGAAGTTTAAAGTGTTCAAAAAAACCCTGTAAGTGCTTTAACTGACAAGGCTTGTGTTTTCTACAGGTTGTTTGGTTTCTCTAAGGTAATGAAACACTACAGTGCACCTGGAAGCACAGAAAGTCCAACCCAAAATTTAAAAAAAAAAAGAAGATAGCACTCTGCAAAAGAGATAACCATCCACACACTGCTTGGTGCTGATCACCCGCAGAGAATGAGGGAAGTGAACCATAAAGGCCATGACTAAATCCTTTAAAGAACAAATATCTGAAGCCAACCTCTCAGATAGGTATTTGTGGACCCCACAAAGGAGGTTACGTGAAAAACTAACAGCATTCAGCAACTTTTTTCTGATGATGCATCTGAATTCCTCTCTGATCAAAGTTCATCTAACTTTCCTCCAAACGTTAGCCCAGGTCCTGAATGCCCACTGATCAGGGTTCATCCTTACCCCAAACACCCACTGATCAGGGGTCATCCTTACCCCGAACGCTGACTGATCAGGGGTCATCCTTACCCCGAACGCTGACTGATCAGGGGTCATCCTTACCCCGAACGCTGACTGATCAGGGGTCATCCTTACCCCGAACGCCTACTGATCAGGGTTCATCCTTACCCCGAACGCTCACTGAACGGGGTTCATCCTTACCCCAAATGCTCACTGATCAGGGTTCGTCCTTACCCCAAACACCCACTGATCAGGGGTCATCCTTACCCCAAATGCTCACTGATCAGGGGTCATCCTTACCCCAAATGCTCACTGATCAGGGGTCATCCTTACCCCAAACACCCACTGATCAGGGGTCATCCTTACCCCAAATGCCCACTGATCAGGGTTCATCCTTACCCAGTGCAATGCACGTGCAATTACAGTCCAACACAGAGGCTGGGGCAACGCTCCATTTCCTCAATTTGTAAGAAACCCAGCTCTCCCTGGATACAGAGGCACTTGGCTGTATCAAGGTGCGCTGTCTAGGAAAACGTATGGCACAAATCCACAACACAAGCTTCTTCCAAGCACTCCCTGAAGCACCACCTCCCTACCCACATCACAGCTTTCCATCAGTCACAGCACAGCAAGGAAACGCTACAGCCACCGTGTCAGCCTCTCCGCTGGCCAGCTGAACGTCTACCGAAGTAGTTCGACGAATCCCATTTATTGTCTGCTGAAGCACTGCACTGACTTACCCTCCAGTCACCCCAACTATGTGTAACAGTACAAATCAAGGGATATACAGCTTTCCCTGCTATTAAAAAGTTATCACAGCTCAGGGGCTGCTGAAAAAAAAAATCAAGATTTAAATGAATGCAAAGACCATGGACGGATGAAAAACATTCCTCTGACAATGCTCGTGTCCAGCAGCTGACCATTACCTTCAGCAACCTTCCTTTTATATATTTTAGGCTTACTGCCAGAAGCTGGTACAGTCCATTAGAAAATTTAACTTCATCCTGTATGCGTACAGGTATTAAAGCTGTATTACAAACCTGGGAATGATTGCTTGAGGTCTCAATTTTCTCTTGAGATCTGTCTCTTGCTAGTTTGGCAGCTTCTTTCACTTCTTGGAATTTCTCTGCAAACTGGAGAAAGCATGAAAGGTATTTATTGAAATGACTTACCATCTGTTAAACCAATCAGATTACTGCCTTTATCTGGTTCATGGATCTCCAAAAGTGAACAAATAATTTTGGTAATTTAAAAGTGTTGTCAAGAAAAATAAAAATTAAATTCTTTGGCAGGGGTGTTTCCAAAAGAGGGACATCTTCATAGCCCTGGCTGATCACAGTATAAACCCATGGAGGAAAAGTGCCTCCTGGTTTGATTTGGTTTTGTTTCTTTCCCCCTCCTCCTCCGTTTCACTTGATGTTGACAGTCATTAAAGTTGAAAGTATAAAAGGCATATGTTTGGATAAAAAAATTATCAGTGTCTTCCATTCCTAGGAGCCAGTCAATTAAATTAAAGAATGCAAATGAGCTCATCTGCAGGATGCAAGCAAGGGATTATCAAGACATAGAAACAATGAGAAGAAGGTAGATGTGGATGTACGATGGGGCTGCATGAAAACACAGCTTCTCTGGCCTAATCTTCTTATTAGTGGCAGAAATAAAGGTAGAAAACTTCAGGGAAAGGCTTGAAGATCTTCCTATAGAGGGTGATGTCAAACTGGGGGCCCGGGAGACAGGAAAGATAGAGATGGAAAGTAACGATCCCAATCTCTACAAGTTGCTATAGGACACCCGCTCCCAGGCCAGCCTGGCACTTTCGAAATACAAGTATTATCACAGCCAGCCCCAGGGCTGCAGGGCTATAAACAGTGTTCAGAGTTTTAAAAGGAGCATTGCAAAGGTGGAAGAAAAGGCATAATCCATAGTTTTTATTTTTTTAATTAAGATGGATCCAGTAAAAGAATGGGTATCTTTGTCTTTCTGCTACAGCAACTCAGTCTTGCCTGTCATTTGAGAGACCTGAAATGCTAGAAAGACATATAAGAAGTAAAAATATAAATAGGTGAATTTTATTGTATAGTTTGTGAAGAATTGCCATTATATCCTTGGATAATTTAGAACACTTATGACAAAATTGTAAATAAAAGCATGAAAAAAACATCATGTTTTATAGTCAAGGAATAGGAAGAATCATTATCCAGTTACTAATCTTACCTTCTAACTTTTAGATTTAGGGCAGGTGTTTAGCAGGCTCTCTCTCAGTACAATACTGGGACTATACAGACTGATAAAACAAATCTTCTCCAGCTGGTCTAAGAGAAATCTGGATGTGTATGTGCAGGCGCCTGTGTTTTGTATAACACACACAAATGGAAATTTCCAACAAACACACATACATCATTCTTAAATGCCAGGGACGAGCACATTCTCAAAGCCGAGTGAAATTTTGGGTGTAGACTACGATCTGTGACGATGCTTCTGTCTGAAGACAGAGCTCTCAATCCAGCTGTTTTCTCTACAACAGCTGAAATTGCACATGCAAAGTACGTGCTCTCCGGTGGCAGCCGTTGCTATCTGATGGCACGTGCTGTCACTACACACACAAATGACTTGATTACCTTTGTAGCACTATAAAGATCATTAGGAACAACCACATTACAATCTTGCCTTAAGTGATTTAACTCCAACGTTACACAAAATGTATCTCCTGCTGTGACAAAACAGCTATAGCAAACTGATCATTTCCAAACTATTGTATCAACACTAAGTTCTACACTTGGGTTTCTTGCAAATAGTAAAGGGCTGGTTTGAGTCTCTCCTTTGCAATAAATCTTTATGGGCAAGTATGAAAAATTTATGAGGGTTCTTCATGCACAGTATGAAATATGAAAAGACAAAAAGAATTGGAAGCAATCTATCAAATTTTATTTTCGCAGCTATCTTCATAAAGCACACAGGAGACTGATGTGGAAAAATGATATGAGCTGAGAAGAAAAGGACATTTTCCCACATTTTTTGTAATAAAAAATTGTATATGACTGAGCAGAGCTAATCTTCAATATAAGCCAATAGCGATCTCGTTGCACAATAGATTTCAGTCACGTTTCTAGCTTACCAACACATGTATTTAACATATTTGCTTTTAGAAACAAGTACAAATAACTGATTTTTTCACCATCTTAGTGACAGATCTTTGCCTTTAAGAGTCAAAATATTACCCTTCGTTCCTATTGTTGTTACAAACGTGAAGATGGCTGTAACAGAAATGATAGAGAAAGACCATCTCTGTTTTTTGTTTAACCTCCACACTTGGAAACTGTCAGTCCATAAGGAGTTCTGCTGCCGCTTCTTTTCCATTCTTAGCTAATTAATACCTGCTAGATCGTACTAACAGTCTATTTTTGAAAGCTACAGAGGACCACTTGGCTTGTTATGACATTAAAGCTTTCACTTGATTACTCCTCTGAGTGCAGCAACACGGTGGTGACAGCCCAAACTTGTGTAGCATTACCAACGCTAATTGCTACAACCACAGACCGGGTGTTTCTGAAGCTACCCAGACCCCAAGGCCATCTCGGAGTGATGGCATGGCCACAGTGTCTAATCACTGGCAGAAATTAGAGAGAAGCTGTCTCTCCAGTAACCGACTTCTTCTGACCCAAACATAAATGATTGATGCTGCAAAATCATGTGCCACCTCCAAGATCTAAATTGACTTGGAGCTATCAAACCACTGTAACAACAGGGAGTGCTTTATAAATGTGAAATTCCTCGTTAAGAGTGAAATAATCTTCTGTTTAGTAAATGAAAACGTGGTAAATGCGGTCTCAAGGGACGATGCATGTATAAATACTCAAAAAACAACTAAAAAGATCACCATGCTCCTCCTTCAATCTTTACTCCCTTCATCTTCCCTTTCCTCCACCCTGGTCCTCGGGCAAAGTTCCTCAAAATTAGCACAAAAATAAGACTGAAGTAGGAAAAATGCTAACTAAACACTAACCCCATAGTCCACCATGGATGATATGACGTGTCTTCCCATGCCCCTGGAAGCTGCGAGAGTAAGACTAAGAAAAGATTTGCTGCTACCAACACTCGTGAAGCCTTTTAGTGTGGAGCTGCTGCAGCCCACGAGCACTGCTCGATTCTGAGCCTCGGCCAGTGACATTTCATGGGGACTCCAGGATGCTACTCTTGCACAATTTATTGAAAAGCTGTTAAAATCTGCAGCTAGCTTGTCACCTGGAGAAATATATATATATTTAAATAGACCTTTTAGCATTTTATACATTAAAAAGCATTATTTTGTATGCATAAATTTTAAGCTCCTGACCTGGCATAATATTTTACGTCTCCGACTGGCAAACTGTGCCAGTGTCACACAGATGAACCAGCTGCTCCCACCCAAAGCAGTGTCATAAATATTTCACCAGCCTCTCAGCTTGCAGAAGGCTGGGTGATGTGACGTGACCCACAAGGCACGCGTGGCTTCGCCCGTGGTTCTCCCAGGGTGAGCCTGCGGTACCGGGCAAGTCGGCAGGAAACAAGGGTATTTACTCCAGAAAGCAGCTGGTACTTTGCTGTGGTGCACTGCCAGCACCGAAACCGGCTGGACTGGGTTGGGGCTGCGCTGCACACTGGGAGCTCTACTCTGAGCTGTCTCCCCTGCAACACAGTGTCTGGCAAATGTCGCACACGTAAAGCGCACGCGTGCATAGAAATAAAGCCTGGTGCGTCACAGGTGCTGGACACCGTTGCTTTATGGTGTGCAAAGTCTGGGTTTACGGGGTTTCTCACCGGTATAAATCTTTGTCCCCATGCCCTTGGCTACCCACAGCTCTGCAGACCGCACGGCTGCGTCGGAGCATCCTGAATGACGGCAGAAACTTGGCTTAACCGCTTCGTGTGCAAAACACATCGCTGCCCTTCCAGCACCAGCCCTGCCTCCTCATCACACCCAGGCACACCACCCGTTTCGATCTGGCTGCGGCAATGTATGAGGAATGTCTTGAGACCTTTTTGAAGCCCAGGGTGGGAAGGGGGGAAAGGAGGGTCAGCGAGTCCTGCAAGAGGGGAAAAGGACCCTGAGTAGGGCATCAACTTTAAGCCCTGGGCTCCTCCCAATCAATGTGAATGGTAATTAGGTTACTAGGTCACTGAATGCAGTTTTCATTAATGGCTCATGTTTAATTTGAACTGCTTTTCCCTATAGGTATGGATTAATGCTTAAGTATCTCACGAGAAGCAAGGCATTAGAAAGAGGCAGTATCTTTTATTAGGCCAACCAATACACTTAAAAATGCAGATGTTTTCAGGCGTGCCAACCTCTTCTCATGTCTCATTATTATTCATTGTTTTCAGCAGGCATCTTTCAGCCTTATTTATTTATTTATATGTTTAAAGCCATGGCTATTGATCTCTGGCTTAGTGGAGTTTTAGTGTTTCCTTCCAATTCCTGACTAAAAGCTTCGATTATTTCCAGTAAAACTGGCAAGCTTTAATTTAGGTCTTTTATAAATTGTAATGATATCAACATAAAATGAAACTTTACTTTACTATTCCCAATACACTTATACATCCATAATCTCTCCACCATCTCTGATCTTTCATACTAATGGTTCAATAATTAAACTGAGGAGCATGGGAGATAAAGCATATCTTTGTCCCATTGCTTTGCACGGTGGTAATAAACCAGGTTTTCTAACATTTTCCAGATAAATAACTGTCAGATTTTTTTTTCTAGATAGATCATACCGAGCAATTTTCAGAACTGCTCCCCTCACGCTTCCCTTCAATATCCTGTCCAGAAAATGTCTTCCTGCTGGTTTGGAAAGCTTTTCCTGCAAGTAGAAGGCTGTTTTAGCAGCAGTGGCCTTTTCAGCAGATCCTGCAGTGCACACAGATGTGCAAACCAACCTGGAGAGAAACAGGGCCGGTGCTGGGGCCGCTGTGCCCACACGACGTGTTTTTCAGGTTGGCTCTAGTCCAGCCACATGACCACTGAAGAGCTGCATTCTGACACCAGCATTAGACGTATTCTAGGAAGGTGTTTGGACAGTTTTGGAGAATGTGGCAAAATCTGATATGGTAAAATCTCTACCATTTTTGCAAGGACCTCCAAATGTGCCTTGTTATACCTCCCGTCTCCTAGGTCAGCCTCAGCACGCAGCGCCTGGTGCATGTTTAACCCCAGCCCCCACTGAGGTACCTGTCATCTTGCAGAGACGTGACTTCAGTAATCCGGGATTAAAAATTACTATCCAAATCCTTTCATTTGTTGTCCAAATGTTGCACTTTATCATGCTTATCTGTTACTGGAAACAAACTATTCCCCTAGGTCCACCGTAATCCTCCTGTGTTCCCATACTACTGATTTAGCTCTTATGAACACCTCTGCCACAGAGTCAAGACTATGCCTAGGTGAAATGAGCAGTCCTCCACACCTGATTAAGCATCATAAAACATAATCAGCACCTCATTTTTAAAAAGACAGTTTTGCCTGTGATGGTTGGGTGGCCTCAGCATCCCAAAAGAGCAGATTATTGCCATGGCACCTTTACGGACAAGCCAAGCCCAAAACCAATTTAATGTAAAAGGTATAATATGCTTTACCTTTAAGAAATATTTGCAAAAAATGCAATTCTCTGGAAATTGCAACAACTCAGTGAGAGAGACTTAGTAAAATAAATCCCTACAACAATTCAGTTGATGGAAAGGTTCTCCTTCTATTGCAATGGTCTGCCTTTGCTATTTTAGACGCTGCAAGAAACATCTTGTTTTCCTGATTCTTTGCATATCAAAGCACACAAGAGGACAGCAGCAGGAGAGACTGTGTGCCATGCCCAAGGACACTATGTTGAGTCAACTGACAAAACCCAGTGCCAAGTAGTCATGCTTCAAGTGTCAACTATGTGTTAGATAAGGAGGGGTGTTCTCCTGCCTGAACAAACACCTCAGCTGCTTGATGAGCGCTTGGCAAGACTACTAATCTAATGACAGAGGATATATTTTCAACCACTGCTTATTCATTACGAGAGGCAGCTCCATACTTTGCAAGCCTGCTGTTGTAGCCAGTCTGGGGTCCAGGCAAGTGTTGCATCAACACCAAACCCACCTTTGGGGTGCAGCTCTGCCAGCAAACCTGGTGTCAGACCTGCCCGGCTACTCATCCACCGCCTCTGCCACAACCCACTATCACCTCCCCAGCTCTGTGATAAAACCGCTTTAGCTCAGGGCTGCAAATCACAGCGCTGAGCTGAAATGCCAAAAACGCAGTATTGTTTCAGGCCAGCTCAGTTTACTGAGCCTCCTGAGAGCACCAACACCAACAGTGGGTATCTGCAAAACCAGGGCACCAGCAAGCCCCAGGGGCTGGCAACTCTACCTCGTTAGCTACCAAGTCATCAAAAGGCACAATTCTGAGGCTGGGGTAGCTACTCTCTTCCTTCAGAGACATCTGGCAGCCCTAATGCTAACAGTCCTGGTTCCCTTCGCTTTTGGTGCCGCTTTCAGCTGAAATGGTCACCCAGGGCAGGGAGATGCCAACAAATACTTCAGGGTTCAGGTTGTTTCTGTAAACATCTGAAAACACAAATGCTTTCAGCCATGCTGGGCAAGATACCATCGAGATCACCTCACAGGTACCATCATCAGATTTAATGTATAGTTTTGACCTTAAAATTTGAAATACTGCTTGCTTCCGTACATACAGACACCAGGTAATTATACAGGAGATGGGCACAGGCGAAGAGGACTTGCAGAAGCATGCCACTCAGAAGAGCTCGGGTGGGTACATGCAACTCTTCATTAATTAGAAACAAGGTGACCCTTGAAGAAACACAGTGAGCCCCCGGTACCTTCGTCAGCTGCTGCTCGGAGGGAAAGCCCAAACCAAACACAGTATTTGCTCTGCTGTCTGCCCACTGGCCGAACTTCTGCGACGTTTTAGTGAAGGTCATGTTGGGTGTGATTGTGCTGTTTATGATCACCTGTTTAAAAACAGAGCAAAAAAAGAATTAAAAAATAGAAACCATATCGGAAATGCATATCCTAGCAACGATATCATCCAAAGCAATTAGTAGTCTAAATGAGGAAATTGATGTATTCAGAAGATCTTTTTTCCCCCAAAACAATCCGGTTTCTATCTTGTCTCAGTTCATGCAGGAATTTCGATGGTTTGTATTCTTTATCCAAAGCCCTGCCATGGTCTGGACTGTCCTGCAGTTCAGGAACATCACTGAGCTCAAAGCGACAGCAGGGACAGGAGCCAGGTAATGACCCTAGTAGAAATGCCAATGCAAAATCCTCTTTTTTCTGGATTACAAAGGCCCACGGCTATTCCCACACCCCCGCCAGCCACCCGGGATGGCCGGAGGCCTCCAAGCAGGGGGTCCACCAGCAACACCTGCCCTCAGACTGGAAGAGCAAAGAGATAATTCCGCAATTCTCCATTTGGCCTCAGACATCCACAAGTAGGATGCCTGACACATGCCAGAAATTAAACAAAAAAAACCCAATTAAAAACAAGATAAGGAGAAACTGATGGCTAAATAATGAGTTAAACTTGGGGGGGTGGTGAAGGGCACCACAAACAATGCACATGCAGTGCCAGGTGTGAGTCTCAAGTCAAATATTCTGTCACTTCACACAAGTTACTCCATATCTGCTTCACCACCGGCAACCTTGAAAGCAACAGCGGTTCTTGTAATTAAAGAAATAGCCAACATGAGAGACTGTTGGGATGAAGTCTCTAAGGAACTTAGTGGAACAAGCATAAAATTGTAATCTTGCAAAAAGGAATGAGATATACGTCAGTTCGTTCTGAAAAATCTTAATTTTATTTTCAAGATACATCATTATATGAGTCTAGAGACTCCTTCCCCTGGAAATTAATTCATGTACAAAGTTTTTCCTGCTCACAGAAGAGGAGCTTTCTTTAGTAATGCATAACATCATTTCCAATATGCAAATTATGCAGTCATTAAGCCAAATCTGGGGGACAGTTTAATTAACGTGATCAGGAAGTATCCTGGCAACATCCTTTACTATGTATTCTAAGTCCTACACTACCATTTACATTTAGCAAAAAAAAGTGTGAATTAAATCTACCAGAGAAAGAATTAAATCTACCAGAGAAATGTACTTGCCTCCCTCCCTACCCCTAAATTCTGACCTCTGTGTTGATGCCTTTATTTGCTTTCTTCGAAATTGCTCTGCTTCAGTGGTTCCCTCTTTTTGCACCATCTCTTTCAAATAAAACGTGATTTTCTGCCATTTCCTACCACTGAAAGTTCCAACAAAAGGATCAAACCAGAGCAGGACCAGGTGACTGGTACTCCTGAAACTGGGTTTTGGCATGAGAAAAAACAGGGCAAGAAAGAGGGAGAGGTGATTCTGCAGCCAGCGCTGGCCAACACGCACCATACAGACAGCTTTTGGGGCCAAAACTTCTTTTTGGATGGCTGGATGACAAGCAGAGGTGTAAGCGAAGCTACCCAGACGCGCCCTCCTCCGGCTAATTCACACCGAGAAACCCAGCCAATGTAAAATCCAAGTGTGATTTCAGAGCTTTAAATTAAAAGAAAATCAAAGATTTGATGTAGGGTTTTGACAATGATGACATGAGGATGGCACGATGCAGTCACAAGAACAGGAAGAAAAGCTACCACCAACCCAGAAAAATCAGGATGCTTTCCAAAAACTGTAAGGAAAGTGCTACATGTATATTTCTTCTTCAAAAATCTTACATCAGACATGAACTACTTACAAATGTTTAGCTTCTCAAGTTACAGAATTTATTTTAGAAGCTATGAAATACCTAGAAATTTCAAGCTATAAGAAGTATTATTTTAATCCTACTGTGCCTATCACATTAGACATCTGTGGGGAAAAACTAATGAAATGACCCATTCTATTGAAAAGCAAAAGCTTTGCTCACTGGAAGCAGAGTCTGAGGAGAATAAAATTCTTCTGTGCCTCCTACAGTAATCATTGAGTAAATACAAATATAGAAAAAAAGCACACCAAAGGTATCTTTCGGACCACAGTCCAATATTATCAAAGATAAAAAGAAGGATGAAGCCTGCAAACCGTAAACCGAGGAACACCTCGCTGGGTGATGAAATGCACTACATCAGCTCAGCACCTCAGAGGTTAATTTTTTCTGTAGCCGGCGCGGAATCCAAGAGAAGGTTGTGGTGATCACACACCTTCAAGAAACTGACAGTTCATCTGTTAAATTTACAATAAGCTGCAATTAGTGAAACTGCTTGGAAGCCGGCTCTACCTTTTCTTTTTTCCCTCCCTTAAATCCTCCTCTGCCAGTCAGGCACTTCAGACACACTGCGTGCCTACAGAGAAGTGAAAACCCAAGCAGAAGTTCAGGAGATTAAATCAGAGCTCATGGGAACAGTTCAGAGGAGCTGGATGCTGCGGGTACATCGCACTTACCCACCCGGACTTCCTCCCCATCCTCCCCTCCCTCACGCTCGCAGGAAGATGCCGTAATATTAAACTCCAGGAGCAGCAGCCTGTACGTTCCGTTCCCGTGTAAATCTGGTCACCGTTCCAGGGCAGAGACGCTACGCTGGCCAGGGAACAATCACTTGGGTTGTGTTGAGGAGAAAGAAAGGGTGTCACGATTCCAAAGAGCAATGAAAAGCGAGGCTTGCAAGCACTCCTGTCAGGTAACCCAGCCTAGCCCCCCTCGGCTACATGAGACCAGAAGGAAAGGACCCCCCACCACTCCATCTCCCCAGCAGAAGGTCTCCAGCCAGGGCAGGAGGCAGGGGGAGCATTTGTGGCCACCACAATGGGAAAGTTCAACCAAACCGGGAAATTTTTCCTTTTTCATGCAAGGATGAGGCAGAATTTCCAAGTTTCAAAGGAAGAAGGAGCCGAGAGGACGGGCGCAGAAGGGAAAGGGCGCTATCTGAAAGCTGCTGCGGGCAGGATAAGCCCGCAGGCTCTTTCCCAGCCCCACCTGCAATCCAGTATTATAATCCTGTAAGGAAAGGCCACTCATCAATTCAAATGGGCTCTTATGAAGTAACTTTGCCTTTGGTCCTTGTTCCTATGATACGCACACGGTGCAATTCTGGCTGCATCAGAAAACAGAATAAACTTGTGGACTTTCATCCAGGATAATGGATTCAAAAGACAAACTACTCTCTAATCAAATGTAATCAATCCCTGAAGTGGTTAAAGAGTTCTCCCTAAAGACAAAGGCAAAGAGGAGCATAACACAATAAGCACCTTACAGAATAATAAACTCATTCATCATACCGACCGAGTTGTCTACGTGCCGTTAAAAAAAACACCCGCCTTTGCTCTCATCGACATGCAAGCGCATCAGATGGCGAACATTCCTGATACATCCGCCTAAGCCAAACACATTCTCACACTAATTTCGCTTCCTCCGGGAGAAAAACAAACCCGACAGATCTAAATTTTTATCTGAAGACGACACAGAAGAATGTTCACAGTCCAAGGTAGCGCGCCATCAACCCGAAATGACTCCAGACGTTTCGGAACACACCGGGTATGTTCATCAGATAAAAGTGAATGCAAATAAGCTGGCATAGACCAGAACATTCATAGGCTGGAACACACCCATCCCGCTGCCTTCCCACGGAGAGAACCTGCCAAATAAATCAAGCAGGGAGAGGTCACAAGACGACCCGAGTGCGTAGATGGAACAAAATAACGTATTGGCAGCTCACGCTGCTCGTAATGTATGAGCAGCGCCCGTATATACAGCTGCCATCTCTTTCAGGGGATGCTTCGAGGATTTAGAAGGTTCCCCTCCCACACTCCTTGTATCACAACAGGACACTAACGGGGAAAAGCCAATGTGGCTCCTGAAATTACATTTTCCCACGTCAGCGTTTCACCAATGTAAGGCGACCGTGCGTGCCGGCTGGCTGGAGTACAGGGGGAGCGGAGCTGGAGCACACGGGGATTTGCCGCTTGGCAAAGCGAAGAAGACCAAAACAACAGCTAAGAAATAGCTAATGAATATATTATCCAGTATGTTTTGGAACTGCCTTAAATGAAATGAGAAAAGGGCCCCTTGCTCTTGGGAATCGTTCAGGAATTTCCCCTGTAAATTCCCATCACCTGTTACTCTGACATAACCGCACCTCCAGAAAGGCTGGAGCAGGCCGTAGGATCTACTCATTAAGAAGTCACTACGTTAAAACCTCCCCATTTCATTTTCACACCTCTGAATATCTGCTTTCCAGTTTGCAGCCCTTGTGAAATCTAATTTCCCCAACCCACCAGGATGCTAATCTTCGGTAAAAATGTATCCCAGGCTAAAAACAGCACTGAAGAGTGGGAGAAGCTGCAAATCCTCCGGCCACAGCTATCACAGGCTCAGCAGGTTCTTCCAGCTCATCAAGTTGACGTGAATCAGAAGGGCTTTGTGACATTGCATGTGAAGGTGAGGAGGCAGGGATGGATTCGTTGAGAAATTATCTCTCTATCCCAAATGTACAGCAACTCCCTTGAGGAATTAACCCACCTACGTTTCCATGATTTGCACTGTCCTTTGCAAATCTGTCTGTCCTTCCCATCCTTCCTACCTCTGCTGAGAGCTTCTAGACTCGGATGCAACATCTTTTCAGCAACCTGTCACTGGGATCATGTCACGTCTAGTCCTACAAAGCCAGCACACACACACATTGTTAATCAAGACAGTGCTATTAAAGGGGAAAAAGAGAGTCCCTTGCTGAGGCCACCTGTACAGAGTAAGGCAGGAGCAGCACAAGGACATGCCCACAGCAGCTTAAGAACTTGGGAATGAAAGAAAGAACAGCCTTTGGCCAAAACACTGAACCTGTAATGCAGGAGGATTAAGTATAGTTGTTTAACAAACCAGGGCCAGCAAACATGATCAAATCTTTCTCCCCGCCCTTTCTGCTAGGTCTTTGCAGAAGGTCCTCAAGGAAAAAAACGTGGGAAAACTGAAAGCAGTGAGAGCACTTGT